TTATATATATATATATATATATTTATCATTCTTATTCCTTAATAAAACTTTATAAACGCACTTTATAAGTTATTGTGTCATTTTATGTCTTATTTATATGCATTATTTGTAAATATTTTATGAGCCATACCTCTCCCCCTCTATGAATAGCCATATATCCCATCTCTATGGGATATACGGCAAAAATGCAAGAGTTTAAAAAAGTTCATTTCTTAATACGAAATATAAATATTTCATATTTCTAACATTTTTTTCATAATAGTAGACAGTACAAACTTTTTACTGATATACTTCGTTCGTTTATACTTTAAACATAGTAAATAATACTTAATAAATTAAATTTTTGATAGATGCGGCGTATATACCGGAATATATAGGCCGCATCTATCAAAAATTTACCCTATATTTTAGCATTTAATTATACATACTCCCTCATTTTTCGTGAACTTGATATTATCACATGAATATATAATTGAGTGCTGTTTATTATTTAATACTTTATTTGTCTGCATAAAATATTTTGAATTATGCAAAGTTAAACAATAGGTATTTTGCTAATAATGTGGTCTCCTAAGCGTGCTGATTGTTGTCTCTTTTTTTCGAGATTTTCATATCAAAATAATAATAGATAAATCGAATATAGCTCTACTGGTCATCTATATATTATATAGGATAAGGTCAATTATGGATAATTCTTTAAAAAAAAATAATTCATATTTTTATTCAGAACAATATCAAACAATTAATAAAATATTTAATAATTAATCATAGAGATTACATTGGGGATGATTTTATTTCATTTCCTTTTCAACAAATCAGTACCGTTAGGTATGTTTTAATTTTAAATGAAGTAAATATGACAATTATAATTAAACTCTATGTACTAATTTTTTATATCTTTTTGTGAAAAGTCCATCTCTATTTCTCTTATAATACTAATAACATATTAAAATCTGTAAACAATTTATTGCGAAAAATATTACATCGCTCGAGAATGGAACTCATTAGATCTCTTGCATTCGAGAAATTTAGTTTTTAAGGATATAAATACCATTTCGCAAAGCTCTGTAATTTATATTAGGACAGAATATACTCATTATATAAAATTAACGCTTTTCTTTACGAATTATATATAAATAAGACTTTTTTTTATAAAGTCTCCTCTATGTGTGCGTACGAATATTTTTTACATTCTCTCTGTATTGTCTCAAGAGGAAAGATCAATAAAGATTGACAAAATAAAAAAATTCAAAGTGATAGATTCAATATGGACAGAATTTAAAAAATTATTTGATGATCATAAAACTTGATTTTAGAGAGTTTTTAATTGCGAAGTAATATCAAATTTTTAGTTTTGCTTTATTTGAAGCTCGTTAATGCTACGTAAACAAATCAGTGTTCTGAGAGGTGATAGTATTGATCATTTTAAATAAACATGCATACGAACGTGTGACTTATTCCGAAAGGTTTCCGAAGTTAAATATGCAATTATAAAATTACTATTAAGAAAGAGATGACTTTTTCTAATAATTTATTATTCAAGTAATATATTTTTTAAAGTTTATAATAAATTTTAAAACATTCCACCGTTCAAATTATTTATACACCGTGAAGTGTTTAAACACAAATATCAGAGAAAAAAGCTATTTCTGGTCAAAGCAAATCTTATGTCCGTATCAGACTGTGGATTGACGATTACGATTGACGCTTATCCGGTCCTATTTCATTCACGATGCAGCGAGTTCATCGTAGTTGGCTAAAATAGAATCGGACAACTATCAATCATAATCTTCAACTTGTAGATCTTATACAGAATTTGTCATGAATCAATTACAAAACTGTATTAACAACCCAAAATATTAAGCGATCTTAAAATAAGAATGGATTATGAATGCCAATCTTGATGCTTACAATTAGTAATATTCATATGTGCATACACAAATACAATTATCAGTTCTATAGAGATTTCATAGATTGAATATCGATTC